CTCTGGCTTTTTTGCCGCCCCACGCAAAAAAAAAATCAGGATGGCCAGAACGACAAAGCAAAAAAAAAATCAGGATGGCCAGAACGACAAAGCAAAAAAAATAAATAAAACCTGCGGGGTGGCCGGAGCCAGGGTGCAGGGGGAGTCGCTGCGCTGCAGACGTGCCCCGGCTAGCGGGGGGGAGGGGGAGAGAAGGGGGGTGGCCAGGGTGGCCAGGGCTTCAGCGGGGTTAGGTCGGCGGGGAGGGAAGGAAGCGGGTGTGACGTTATTGGCATAATCTGGGACCATATAGAACATGGTTGCAACCAAAGTCCTGTAGTGGCACCAAATCTTGTATAAAGGGGATCAAATGGGGCGTCTAAGACAAGGTTATGGTTTGCTGGTTATGATTATGCTGTCTATATGTGTGTATCAATTTTGTAGTTGAAGTTATGAATATTGGCTCTATACTGTCTGTATGGCAAACTTATGCTATACTTCTGGGAGACATCCCAGACAAGCTGAGATTAGCTCTGCCTAGCCTGCTTGATGGCCCATTAAGGACCATCAGCTATACAATGGACCCATTGAGAGAAGGCAGATACGCCTTGTGACTCAGCAAAGTATGCAGGGACTGGCCCATGTGACTCCAGACTCCATTTTGCTGTAATTTTCCACAGTAAGAACAAAGAGGTGTCCTTACACCTGGAAAAGACTATATAAGGCTGATTCCTCATCTCCATTTTGTCTTCAATCCTGCTTCTTACCTATGGAGGGACTTCGCTACAACTGAAGCTCTGAACAAAGGACTGATGACCCATCCCAGCAGGAGATGTATTCCAGAGACTTGATTTGAACCTGCTGTTTATTCCTTCACTGCTACAAGCCTGAACCAAGAATTTTGCCATTACTGTATGTAATTGATTCCATTTAACCAACTCTAGCTCTCATCTATATCTTTTTCCCTTTATGAATAAACTTTTAGATTTTAGATTCTAAAGGATTGGCAACAGCGTGATTTGTGGGTAAGATCTGATTTGTATATTGACCTGGCTCTGGGGCTTGGTCCTTTGGGATCAGGAGAACCTTTTTTCATTTATTGGGGTATTGGTTTTCATAACCATTTGTCCCCATAACGAGCAGCACTGGTGGTGATAGTGGGAAACTGGAGTGTCTAAGGGAATTGCTTGTGTGACTTGTGGTTAGCCAGTGGAGTGAGACCGAAGTCCTCTTAGTCTGGCTGGTTTGGTTTGCCTTAGAGGCGGAAAACCCCAGCCTTGGGCTGTGACTGCCCTGTTTTAAGCAATTTATCCTGAATTGATACTCTCAGTTGGGTCCCACCAGAACAGCATCGTTACAGCGGGCTGCCCTGCCGGGCTTGCTACAGACCTGGCACTGGCTGGGGCAGACGGAGCGCGCAGCCCATTCCCAGCAGGGCGCTCCCCTCCTCCATGCCGCCAGCCCCTACAGGGTGGCTGGATCGGCGAACAAAACAAAAAACAAACCAACAAAAAAAGCGGCCGTGCCGCCCTAGGATTGGGCGGAATGCCGCCCCGTAGAATCTGCCGCCCCAAGCACCAGCTTGCTCGGCTGGTGCCTGGAGCCGGCCCTGGCGGCTGCTGGCACGTCTCTGCATGCCCCTGGCAGGGGGGAGGTGGCTCCGCGCACTGTCCCCGCCCCCGGCACCATCCTCATAGCAGCCAATGGGATCTGCAGAGGTGGTGCTTGCGGGCGCTGGCAGCTCACGGAGACCCGCTGCCCCATCTCTCCCGAAGGGGTGTGCAGAGACGTGACAGCAGCAGCAGGCCCCAGCCGCTTCTGGGAGCGGCGTGGGGCCAGGGCAAGCAGGCAGCCTGCCTGAGCCCTGCTGCACCGCCAGCCGGGAGCTGCCTGTGGTAAGCGCCTCCCGGCCAGAGCCTGCACCTCACACCCCTCCCGCACCCCAACCCCCTGCCCCAGGTCAGAACCCCCTCCGGCACCCAAACTCCCTCCCAGACCCTGCATCCCCTCCTGCACCCCAATCCCCTGCCCCAGTCTGGAGCCCCTCCTGCACCAAACTCCCTCCCAGACCCTGCATCTCCTCCTGCACCCCAATCCCCTGCCCCAGCCCGGAGCCGTATTTTGCCTACCCCTGGGATAGATAATAAGAGAGTAAATATCATAATGCAGCTATATAAATCTATGATATGCCCACACCTTGAATATGGGTTGTCCCATCTCAAAAAACATGTATTGGAAAAGGTACAAATGATTAGGGGTATGGAACAGCTTCCATATGAGGAGAGATTAATAAGACGGGGACAGTTCAACTTGGAAAAGAGACAGCTAAGTGGGAGATATCATAGAGGTCTATAAAATCATGACTGGTGTACAGAAAATAAATAAGGAAATGTTATTTACCCCTTCACATAACACAAGAACTATGGGTCACCCAATGAAATTAATAGGCAGCAGATTTAAAACAAACAAAAGGAAATACTTCACAGAACGCACAGTCAACCTGTGGAACTCATTGCCAGGGGATGTTGTGAAGGCCAAAACTATAGCAGGGTTAAAAAAAAACTAGATAAGTTCATGGAGGATTGGTCCATCAATGGCTATTAGCCAAGAAAGATGATCAGGGATGCAACCCATGCTGTGGATGTATCTCGCCTCTGACTGCCAGAATCTGGGAATGAGCGACAGGGGATGGATCGCTTGATGATTACCTGTTCTGTTCATTCCCTCTGGGGCACCTGACACTGGCCAGTGTCAGAAGACAGGATAGTGGGCTAGATGGATCATTGCTTTGACCTAGTATGGCCATTCTTATGCTCCTATGTTCTTATGCATCTAACTGAAAATTGTTTTGAGTCAAACAAAACATTTCATTTCAATTTTGATCATTTTTACATGTTTTTGATGGTTTTAAAATAAAATTAAAGGAGGTTTTGAAATATCAGACTCAGAATGTTTCATTCTGAAAATGTCAAACAAAATGTTCCAATTTTTTCAGACTCTCTTTGTTCAGGATTTTTTTCGACTGAAACAAGTGGGCGACACTGATGTGAATTCACAGAACGCGTCAGTGTCACCTATTCTTCAGTTTTTGCTGGAAAAAAGTTTTGGATGAAAAATTTTGCCCGGCACTACTAGCCATGAGGGCAGCCAGCTCTCTTCACACCCGAGTCCTCAATGGAACAGCTCCCCTTAGGAAGTGCTAGGGAACATGGGGGGCTGAAATGTAATTAGAAGGAGCCCTCTGATTCTGTCATCTGTGAGCATCAAACTGTCGCCTGAACCTTTCTAAAAACACATACTGTCAGAGACAGTAGTGACAGGGTAGGGACCCCACTAACTTCATCATGGTCGTCCTAGAAACCCTAGCAAAGGGCAGCTCTGACTAACCACGCACTGGTCATCACATCTTGCAGTAGCTAGGAGCTGGTACTAGTTAAGGTGGGTGGTTTTCCCAAGAAGAATTGGTGGGATCATTTTTGGGGGAGGGATAGCTCAGTGGTTTGAGCATTAGCCTGCTCAACCCAAGGTTGTGAGTTCAATCCTTGAGGGGGCCATTTGGGGCAAAAATCTGTCTGGAGATTGGTCCTGCTTTGAGCAAGGGGTTGGACTAGATGATCTCCTGAGGTCCCTTCCAACCCTGATATTCTATTATTCTAGTGCATGGAGACATAAAGTACACATGAACTCTGTCCCACAAGCTTAACTCTGCCCCCTGAGGCTGGCAAAAGTGATTTAGCGAGGGCTGCCCTAGAATTGGGGGTTCTGTTTTGGGGGGGGGTATTCATTTCATTTGGGGGAGGTCAGCAAGTTCTGAGTTCTATGTAGATGTCCAAAAATCAGGGGAGGATTTGTTTTGGGGTGGGGGCAATTTTCTCTTTGATTCTGTAACAAGAAGATTTTTATCAGGTACTTCCCAAAACTCTTGCCTAAACAGGATCTATTTCAATTTGTATTCCATATATAAAAATAACAAACATGTTAGTTGAAGCTTTGTATCTTTGTTATCAAACGCTTGGTTTAGCGTTCATTGCCTTTGTTCCCTAGTGTGTTTTCACAGTATTGTTTCAAACAGCACTATGTTAAAGTGCACTAGGGAACCTTTAGTGTGCACCAGCAGGGTCTACACACACCAACTAATGCACAGCACCTTGTGCTTTAAAAATCACGCCCCTGTAGTCCGCATTTATTGGCTAAACACCAATTCCATTTTTTTGGTATCTGGGGTGTCTGATCAGTGTTTCTTGGGTAAAATCACAAGCCTACATACGGAAGGACAAAGTAAATGTGCCATCTGATGAGTTGTGTATTCTCTCATTGCTCTGCGCGCCCTTCACGGTGTAAGAGACAGCTGTATGGACTGGTGCAGAGATTAATTAGGGTAGGTTGCCCCAGCCCACTCTGCAACCTGAGAGGTGCATCTACAGCCAAAGGGATCACGAACCCCTCGTTTCTGTGCAGAGCTACGTGGATTGTGCGAACAGAGGAGCACAATGCTTTCTTCCTGCCATTGGGGTTTGTAGCAGATATCACAGTGCACTACAGGGCAGATTTCGATCAGATCTCTGGACCGAGTTCCTCTGGGCCATGTCCACTGGCTCCTTACATGACTTTGAGGGGCACTGGGCGCTGCCAGGGGTTCTCTGCTCAGGTCCCCCTCTGGCTCCCTCATTATTAACCTCATTTGAGGCCTGGGTCTAGTGCAGGGGTGGGCAATAATTTTCACAGAGGGGCCACTCCACGAATGTTGGCCACACATTTCTACTACATTAATGGAGGGGGTGTGGGGTCTGGGAGAGAGTTTGGTGCAGGAGGGAGCTCCGGGCTGGGGCAGGGGGTTGGGGTGCAGGGGGGTGGTGCGAGGTGCAGGCTCTGGCCGGGAGGCGCTTACCACAGGTGGCTCCAGGCCAGCGGCACAGCAGGGCTCAGGCAGGCTGCCTACATGCCATGGCCCCACACTGCTCCCAGAAGTGGCTGCAGCCGGCTGCTGCTGTCATCTCTCTGCGCGCCCCTTGGGGGGAGGCGGGTAGTAGGGTTACCATTCGTCCGGATTCCCCCGGACATGTCCGGATTTTTGAACTAAAAATAGCGTCCGGGGGGAATTTGTTAATGTCCGGACTTCCCTTCCCCCCGCCGCCCCCATGCAGAGCACGCGCGGCTAACAGGGCAGCCGGATGGTGTCACTTACATGGGGCTCCGACAGCGAGAGAGAGTCCCTCCGCCTCCCCTGCAGCAGAGATCACTCCCTCCCTCCCTCCCTCCCTGCATTCGCCTCCGGCAGTCTGGAGCTCCTCCCCCACTGCTGCCCAGCGTGCCGGGAGAACGGCTCCGGCCATTCCTGAGCAAGCTCCCAGAGAGACCTTAGGTGAACCGAAGGCCAACGACAAGGGAGCCAGGGGGTCGGAGAAGGGGCAGGGAGGTTTTGGAGGGGGCAGTCAAGAGATGGGGGGGGGGTTCGGGAGTTTTG